TATCTATCTATCTATCTATCTCCTATCTATCACCTATCTATATCTATCTATCTATCTATCTATCTATCTATCTATCTATCTATCTATCTATCTATCTATCTATCATCTATCTATGTATGTATGTGTCATCTATCTATGTATCACAAGGGTCTTCAAACTTGGCAAGTTTAAGACTTGTGGACTTCAACTCCCAGAATTCCTCCTCTTCCAGTCATGTTAGCTCAGGAATTCTGGGAGTTGAAGTCCACAAGTCTTAAAGCTGTCAAGGTTGAAGACCCCTGCTCTAACGTAACTAAGAATGGGACTGTCCTGTGGACTGGACAGCATTGCCAGTGTTTGTGTTGTGCATGTGCATGTGTCTCTCTGTGTGTAAATGGGGGCATGATGCTTACCTTTGGGCAGGCTGAGTCCCAGATACTAAATGATGCTCTCCGGCCGGCCATCTTCATGTTGTGATTATAAATGGATTCTGGAGGTAAGAATTTTTTTTAAAAAAATCAGTATGTGATGAAGGAAGGAAGGACAGCAGAGAAAGAAGGGAAGAGAATTAGAAAGAACGGAGGGGTTGCCACAGGAAAGAAGAGAGTCACTTACCAATATCCCCGTATTCACCGATGAATCTTCGGGTCAGAAACCTGACAGTCAAAGCTGGAAAGGAAAGAGGAAACCCTTGTCATGGCTGCCATCTCTTCTTTCCAAGCTTCAGGAGGTGACAGCCTGACCTTAGCAACGGGGAGGATGGTGGGGAGATGCCTTTGGACCCCTCCTGTTTGTGGCAGCCCCTTAAATATGGGGACACGGCTATCAGGTCACCCCTAGTCCTTCTTTTCTCTAGATTAACCATACCCAATTCTGGGTTTTAAAAAAGAAGCAGATAAAATTGGGTAAAAATACACAATTCTGGGTTAAAAAACATAAAATTGGATAAAAATACACAATTTTGGGTTAATAACCATAAAATTGGATAAGAATGCACAATTCTGGGTTAAAAATACTGATAACGATTGGGTAAAAATACACAATTCTGTGTTGAAAAAAACAAAAAATTGGATAAAAATACACAATTCTTTGTTTAAAAAAACAAAAAATGGGTAAAATACATAATTCTGTGTTAAAAAACAATTTGATAAAAACACACAATTCTGGGTTAAAAAACACAAAAATAGGATAACAATACACAATTCTGGGTAAAAAAAACCTGATAAAAATTGGGTTAAAATGCACAATTCTGAGTTTAAAAAAAACGTAAAAATACCCAGTTCTGGGTAAAAAAAACTGATCAGGGCTTGGTTTTTCCTTTTTCTTACTGAAATGAGGCATTCATGGACTCCCCAACAGAATGACTCATAATTCAGCATTTAAATCAGCTGGGGTTCAAAAGGCTTTTATAGCTTAATTTAGTTAGATTCCCACCAGGTTTGTACAAGGCATACAGTGCCTCTTACCCTTAGGGAGCTTTGCTAAAACCAATCACCCAGGTAACCCTTGAGTAGGAGAACAACCAAAATTGCAAAATCCAACCTGTAGCTTAATCTCACCTGGCCACCCATCTTTACATGGGAACCATTCTTTGGGGCACAGGTGCTTTCCTGGAAAACCCAAAATCTACCTCTGTCATCGGGCATTTATTGAAAAGGCAATTTTTAAAACCAACCAGCCATGGAATACAAGTTGTTCTCGACTTACAACCACAACAGAGCCCACAATTTCCATTGTTAAGTGAGACATTCCTTAAGCGAGTTTTGTCCCATTTTACGACCTTGCTGGCCACAATTGTTAAGTGAATCGCTGCTCTTGTTAAGTTAGCGACACGGTTGTTAAGTGGATCTGGACGCCGCTTGTCAGAAGGTTGCAAAAGGGGATCATGTGACTCCGGGATGCTACGACTGTCGTAAATACGAGTCCGTTGCCAAGATTCTGAATTTTGATAATCGTGACCACGGGGATGGTGCAAGGATAGTGTGAAAAAAACAGCCATAAGTCACCTTTTTTTGGTGCTGTTGTAACAGGTCACTAAATGAACTGTTGTAAGTAGAGGACAGCTTGTAGTGGCAAAAGTCTTGCTCATTTCTCTCCTCTCAGCTGTGTCCCAAGGGACTCAAGCCAGGCATTTGGGACAGCCTGTCCCCTGGGGAGGTTTTTTGCCCCTACACACCACAACCCTGTAAGGTAGGCAGGAAAGCGAGATAAAAGCGGACTTGGAGTTAGGGATCCTGGGCTGCAACAACAGAGGCATGGAATCAAAACCACACGAAGTATAAGCACCGCTTTCTAAAGCCTTAGTAAGGCCACACCTGGAAGGCTGCAGCCAGTTTCAGTCCTCATGTTGTAAAAAAAGATGTTGAGACTTTGGAAAAAGTGCAGAGAAGAGCAACTAAGGTGATCAAAGGCCTGGAGACTAAAACATAGGAAGAAGGGCTGCAGGATTTGGCTATGTCTAGTCTAGAGAAAAGAAGAGGGATAGAATAGCAGTTTTTGAATATTTGAGGGGCTTATTCCCCAAAGTACCTGAAGGCAGAACAAGAAGCAACGGATGGAAACTCATCAAGGAGAGAAGCAACCTGGAACTAAGGAGAAATTTCCTGACAGTGAGAACAATTAACCAGTGGAACTGCTTGCCACCAGAAGTTGTGGGTGCTGCTCCATCACTGGAGGTTTTTAAGAAGAGACTGGACAGTCACTTGTCTGAAATGACATAGGGTCTCCTGCTTGAGCCAGGGGCTGGACTAGAAGACCTCCAAGGTCCCTTCCAGCTCCCGGGCAATGAAGAAATGCGGCCCAGTCGCATTTCCACGCTGGCTGGGGAGGATAGTTGTTGTAGTCTGAGCGCAGGGCTCAGGTTAGCGAAGTGCCGTCCGCAGAAACGAGCCAAGAGATCGCTCCGGAGCGGCGGCGGCGGCAGCAACTTACCCGATTTCCCCACTTCTTCCGCCCCGATGACCAGGACGTTGGCTTCCAGCTTGGGCGAGATCCCTTCGGGCATCTTCCCGGCTTGTCGGAAAGCCGTCTTGAGTTGCACCAACATGGCAACCGGGGGGGGGCAACAGCCTCGCGGGCGGGCGAGCGAAGCGGAGGAGGAGGAGGAGGAGGAAGAGCCCACCTGACGGCGCCACCTGTTACCCGGCGAGTCTCGCTGTACAAGCCGAGCCGGCCGGTGGGCCGGCCTTTTTATACTGGGGGAGGAGCCTCCGGCCAGAGAGGGCGGAGTCGGCCACGCCCCGCGTCGCGCGAGGACCAGGTGCAGCCGCTAAGGGCACGAGATGCGGGGGCGGGACGGGGGGGCTGAGGAGTTGCTGCGGAGGGAGGGGGAGGGATTGTGGGGGGCTGAGGTGCTGCTACTGAGGTGTGAGAGAGAGAGGGAGGGAGAGAAAAAGTGGGAGAGAGAGAGAGAGAGTGGGGGGAGAGGGGGAAGGGGGAGAAAGAGGAGAGGAGAGGAAGGGGGAGAGGAGGAGGAGAGAGGGATGCGGGGGGGCTGAGGCACTGGTGTGGAGGTTGTATGTGTGAAAGAGAGGGAGAGAGAAAGGGGGAGAGAGGAGGGAGGGAGGGGGAGAAAGAGGAGGAGGAGGGGGACAAAGAAAAGAAGCAAGAGCAGGAGAGGGAGAAAGTGATAAGGAAGGGGGTGTGGGTGGAGGAGAGAGGGAGAGAGAGAAGGAAAGAGGGAGAGAGGAGGAGGGGGGCAGCATGGCCAGAGAGGGGAGAAGATGTGTGTGTGTGTGGGGGGGTGTCTTTAACCAAAAAGTCTGGTAGGTAGAAGAACAACTAAGATGATTAGAGGGCTAGATGCTAAAACATGAGGAAGAACGGTTGCAGGAATTGAGTCTGGCCGGAAGAAAGAAGGAATTAGGGGTGACATGATAGCAGTCTCCCAGTATTTGAGGGGCTGCCCCAAAGGAAATGGGGGTCAAGCGATTCTCCAAAGCGCCTGAAGGCGGGACAAGAAACAACCAAGGATGGAAACCAACCAAGGAGAGAAGCAACCTGGAGTTGGAATTACAGTGAGAGCAATTAACCCGTGGAACTGCTTGCCACCAGAAGTTGTGTTCCATCACTGGAGGTGTTGAAGAAGGGCCTGGGCAGCCATTTATCAGAACTACAGGTCGTCCTCGATCTATGACTGCAATTGAGCCCAAAATTTGAGGACCCCTCCCAAAAGGTGAGTTTTGCCCCATTTTACAACTTTTCTTGCCACTGAAGTTGTGAAATTACTCACCTGATTGTTAGGTGAATTTGGCTTCCCCATTGATGTTGGCCTTCTACTTTCTGTCTACTGCCTGCTGCTTCCTTGCCATCTTCTCTCTTTGGTGGACTGACTGTCTCCCCCCCCCCCCCCCCCCCCCTGTTCTGTATGTGTCCAAAGGATGGGAGGAAATCTTCCATCTTCCAAAAGGCCAGATCCTGCTGGAGCTCAGCAATTGTTGGCTGTGGTCTTGGAAGGAGGATGGGGCAGGAGCGCCCTCTGGCGACCAGGAAGGAGAAAGGAAGACGTGTTGGAAATGAGAATGTTCTCTGGCCACTTTAAATGGCCCTTAGACTTGTATACCGCTTCACAGTGCTTTCCGGCCCTCTTTCCAGAGCCAGCCTCTTGCCCCCAACAATCTGGGTCCTCATTTTACCCACCATGGAAGGACGGAAGGTTGAGTCAACCTCGTGCCAGTCAGGATCGAACTGCTGGCAGTTGGCAGCGGAGGGAGGGAAGGAAGGAAAGGAAGGAAGGGAAGGAAGGAAGGAAGGAAGCAAGCAAGGAAGGAAAGGAAGGAAGGAAGGAAGGAAGGAAGGAAGGAAAAGACAGAGATGGATGGATGGATAGATTAGACAGACAGACAGACAGAGCACTTAGACTTATATCCCACTTCACAGTGCTTTCCAGCCCTCTCTAAGTGGTTTCCAGAGTCAGCCTCTTGCCTCCAACAATCTGGCTCCTCATTTTACCCACCTCAAAAAGACAGAAGGCTGAGTCAACCTTGAGCCGGTCAGGATCAAACTGCTGGCAGTGGGCAGCAGCGGGAGGGAGGGAGGGAGGGAGGGAAGGAAGGAAGGAAGGAAGAAGGAAGGAAGGAAGGAAGGAAGGAAGGAAGGAAGGAAGGAAGGAAGGAAGGAAGGAAGGAAAATAGCAATAGCACTCAGACTTATATCCCACTTCCCAGTGCTTTTACAGCCCCCTCTAAACGGTTTACAGAGTCAGCTTCTTGCCCCCAACAATCTGGGTCCTCATTTTACCCACCATGAAAGGACAGAAGGTTGAGTCAACCTCATGCCAGTCAGGATCAAACTGCTGGCAGTGGGCAGCAGACGGAGGAAGGAAGGAAGGAAGGAAGGAAGGAAGGAAGGAAGGAAGAGACAGAGATAGATGGATGGATGGATGGATAGAGTAGACAGACAGACAGACAGACAGAGCACTTAGACTTATATACCACTTCACAGTGCTTTCCAGCCCTCTCTAAGCAGTTTCCAGAGTCAGCCTCTTGCCTCCAACATTCTGGCTCCTCATTTTACCCACCTCAGAAAGACAGAAGGCTGAGTCAACCTTGAGCTGGTCAGAATCGAACTCCTGGCAGTTGGCAGAATTAGCCTGCAATATTTCATTCTATAACCACTGAGCCACCATGGCTCTTAAAGCTTAACATTTCAGCAGAATGGTGGAAAAAAGGCTGAGTGGTCCCCTGTTCTACTATTATTAAGGGCTGTAGTGGTAAGAAGACCAGTGGGTTGGACTAGATGATCGCCAGCTCTGACATTCTGTTTTTCCAATTCACAAGGCCATTTGGACACAGGCCCCAGGAAAATGTATAGCTAAAATTGTACAGATAGTTGTTGACTTAGGACCACAACGGAGCCCAAAATTTCTGACGTTAAGCAAGGCATTTGTCAAGTGAATTTTGCCCCATTTTACGACCTACCTTGCCACGGTTGTTAAGTGAATCATTGAAGTTGTTCAATTAGTAACTCGGGTTGTTAAGCAAATCTGGCCATTGGCTTTGCTTGTCAGAAAGTCGCAAAAGGGGATCCCGTGACCCCGGGGACACTGCCACTGTCATAAGTGTGAGTCGGTTGCCAAGCGGATGAATTTTGATCACATGACAGTGAGGATGGTCGTAAGTGTGAAAAGCGGTCCTAAGTTACTTGTTTTCAGTGCTGCTGTAGCTTTGGAACAGTCACTAAATGAACACTTGCAAATCGAGGACTACCTGTAAAGGTTCCGGTGGGTTACCTTGTTTTGCAGCTGGCGGTCCTCCTGATTATCTTTTAATCAATCTTTTAAAGCAGGGCTCTCCAACCTTGGCCCCTTTAAGACTTGTGGACTTCAACTCCCAGAATTCCTCAGCCAGCAAAGCCGGGGTTGTGGACTTCAACTCCCAGAATTCCTGGGAGTTGAAGTCCACAAGTCTTAAAGGGGCCAAGGTTGGAGACCCCTCTTTTAAAGCATTTACTCAGATGTGGAAGGATTCCTCCAGCTTCATGTAACAGCACCGTGGCTAAAGACGATGGACTCGGAGCGCTGGGGGTGGGTGGGCTGGAATGCCAGGTATTCCTGAGCCAATTCTGGAGTGGGATGGCTTTTCCTGCTTCCTCGAGAGGACCAGTTCTTCCACTCTCCTGCCAGGTCTTCTCATCCACCTTACAGCAGGTTGAGGGCAGGTAAGTCAGCCTGGGGGAGGGGAGTCAGCCGCCCTTTGGGTTTAGGAAAAGTCACCACGGCCAATTCACCATAGCTGACTCACTGCAGCCTACTCACTGCAGCCCACTTGCCATAGCCAATTCATAGCCAACTCACTGTGGCCAACTCACACAGGCAACTCACTGCGGCCAATTTGCCACAGCCAAGTTGCCACGGCAAACTCGCCATGGCCAGCTCGTCATGGGACAATTCTCCATGGCCAACTCATTGTAGGACAACTTGCCACAGGACAAAAATGACATAATATGGAAGAAGTGGTGGAACAGAATCATCTAAGAAAGGCTGCAAAAGGGGGCGGGGGACAGAAACGTGAATGGCAAAAATTAAAATTATTTTCAAGAATTAAAACGGTCGAGATTGTCTTGCGGAGAGTTTTGCTGCGACGAATTGACTGCTGCGAATTGTCCCATGGCAAGTTAGCTGTGGTGAGCTGGCCACACCAAGTTGGCCATGGAGAACTGGGCAAGGCTAGTCCAGGGAAGAGAAGGACCGGAGGAGACAGGAGAGCATCTTCCAATATTTGAGGGGCTGCCCCAGAGAGGAGGAAGGGGGTCAAGCTGTTTTCCAAAGCACCTGAAAGCCAGACAAGGAAGAATGGATGGAAACTGAACAAGGAGAGACTCAACCTGGAAATAAGGAGAAACTTTCTGACAGGGAGAACAATCAACCAGTGGAACAGAAGTTGCCCTCAGAAGTTGTGGGAGCTCCATGCCTGGAGGCTTTCAAGAAGAAACCTGTCAGAAATGGTGTAGTCTCCTGCTGGGCAGGGGGTTGGACTAGATGACCTACAAGGTCCCTTCCAACTCTGTTAATCTGTTGATTGTCCCGTTCTGCCTTTAGCTGATGCTCCTGTGAGACCTTCAGGTCAAACCAGGTTGGAGGCCTTACTCCCAGGCCAGAGTGAGGGATGCCACTCACTGTTGTGGCTGGGAAGCCACAAGTGAAGGGCCGTGGGCAGATGTGTGGAACCACGGCCACTTCTGCTCCCAGAGGTTCAACCATTTCGATCTTCAGCCCCAGCAGCTTTCTCAGGTGGACGGGTCAAATCCTAGATTGAAAAGTGTGTTACATGTATATGCTGCCCCAGGTTGCTGTGAGGCGAGCATCATAATAAACTATAAATTATTACAGGCAGTCCTTGACTTACAACAGTTCCTTTAGTGACCGTTCCAAGTTACAACAGCGCTGAAAAAAGTGACTTAGGGTCATTTTTCACAGTTACAACCTTTCCAGCATCCCCATTAATGTGATCAAATTCAGCCGTTTGGCAACTGATTCATACTTATGACCGTTGCAGTGTTCCTGGGGTCACGTGATCCCCGTTTGTGACCTGACCAGCAAAGCCAATGGGGAAGCCGGCTTCGCTTAACAACGGGGTTACAAGAAAGGTCATAAAAGGGGGGAAAG